GTAAAAATGCAAGGACTTGTTCTCTATTTTATTATTTTCTTCACCCTGAAAATGGATTGAAATTATTTGTTTTTGAAAAATATTACCGCACAGTTTATTTTCATAGCAGTGAAAGCACCTTGAAGATATTTCCTAAATTTAATCATCTGCCTTATATCATAAAATCAAGGATTTCAAACATAAAAAAGGCTGTATTTCTGGCTTCAATACTTCAATAGTACCAGTATTGTAGTGGAGCCTTTTACCACTACGATTACCTCCATCTGAGGAACACCGATATGATGTCAGGGTCTTATTTGCTCGCAGGCCTTTCGACTTGCTCATTTACTTTAGAAAAATCCAATACAGGCGTTTCACTTTCATTGTTCGCAATGTGGGTATGACCTATATTCTGAATTTAAAACATTATGAACCAATAGTGCTTCATGATCTATAGAAGGCAAAAAAGTGAGACGTTCTCAACCTATAAAAAAGGTTGCAAAGCAAAGGAGCCTTTGCTTCCCGGATCCACCAATTAATCTGATAACAGCTTTTTTAATGGCGATTATAAGTAGGTGATTAAAAAGTTGGTTTATCTATCGAGTCGTTGGCTTTCCTACTTCAGTAATCCAGTAATAATCTTTAAATAAGCAGCAGAAAATGGCAACATGACTTGTTCTCCAAATGGGCAGAAAAATGTCTTCTGTTATCTCCGGATTAATTAGCTCTGGATTAATTAGCTTCTAAAAGTATTTCGAAATATTTGAACAGACTGAAACTTCCGAAAAACGGGGATTTAAAATGATACTTAAGTTATTACTAAAGTATTCCTGCAACACGAGCAGCTAGTTGTTACGAAGCTTAACAATTTAATCGTAATAATCTGAATCAAGTTTTACCAATTCCATTCAATCTTATCACTAGAGCAAATAGGAATCTAATCGCTTTATCAATAGGAATAGGTCAAGTTAAGTTCTAGCTAATGATAACATTAAGGGCGACCTACTCACTTTACTTGATTGGAAACGAACCGGAAACAACCCCTCCACACTGAACAGAAAAATATCGTTTTACAAATATTGCAAAGTTTCCACACTTTCACTGGATGAAACCTGTACTTTTTCACCACCATTTTAGGGTGGCAACCCAACTTGACCTGCTCGACATGCGACACTCGAGAATTTGTTTGTCAAATGGTTGAGATTTTTCAGCATCGTTCAAGCGCTATTTTAAGAAGGTTTTTGTGATAACAGTGAGGATTCGTTTGACGACATACAACTGGAGATTATGGAAAAATCAACAGCTGAATTTAGTTAATTTCAATTAGCAGTAATGAAGTCACAATCTAATGAGTTTTGCATTCATTCACAAACTTACTGAGGATTACTGAGGAGCAGTTCAAACCTTTTTCCGATTTATTGGCTACTAAGTTGGGCCAATTACTTGACTTAAAGCATGTTGGAAAGTATTGCGGGTCGTGAAATGCTCAAAATCTGTGCTGTATGTAAAAATTTTAGCAAATTAATAAAGAAATTTAGTCGCTTCTTTGGAAGAATAAGCAAAGAACTTTACCGCTGACCATGTGCTAACACACAACATTACCAACACAAAACAACAAAACTAAAGTATTGAAATTTATATTGCTTTGACTGAAATTGTGCCAATTTATTGCGAGAACAATATCCAAGTGCAAAGTCGACGACACCTTCAATAGTTGACACCTTTCATTGGCCAATAAATCGGGAAAAAGTGCGTAGTGTAATACCGGCTCGACAAAACTGCCATTTGTGGAACCCGAACAAATTAAAGTAATTTTGGGTTATTATATTTTGAGCTTTAACGTTGCTAAGAAAATGACCCATGGCGCAAAGAGTCCTAAACATCTACATCGATACGAGCTCGTTACTAAGGAAACAAGGGGATTTGCTAACGTGAGATTTAGTGAGGTGAGGTTGATTTCCACCATGCACATACTTTTTTGGACATCATTCAATGTCTTGAGAAGAATATTTTTGTAAAGTAAAAGTGTAATTTGCAAAACAGCTTCCAAAGTCACGCATATTTGCTCAACGAAATGTTTCAGCCGTTAAATAATCGCTCGTCACACTGTTAGGTAAAATAAAAAATGTACAAACAAAATAGTGTCAGGCCAGCTACTGGTATAATTTGTAAGATTCGCGTGACAAATGCGCAAATCCTTTTGATCTGATAAATTCACTTTGATCTTTGGCTCTAGTCATAAAACGTTTACGACTCTCTTGCGTCCTAGACAGTTTTGATAGGTCGTAAATCACATTCTCAAAACTGTCCTTTCTTATCGCGGTTTGACAATTTATATTTTATTTTTATTAGCGGCAAAAATGTCTATTGACCTCTGGGACGAAAAATCGGCTTAAGATTCGTAATTTTCTAAGCTTTTTATTGTCGATTGAATAATGTTTAATCCGTCGCCGTACTTCGACAGTAAATCATTAAATTTGTGTCTTTTCAGAAAAACAGATCATTCATCATGAGTTAAGTATTAAAAAGCAAGGCGGTGTTCATGAATCAGGTGGAAGCAAATGACGCCAAAAAGTAACAAAGTGCGCATAAACATTTACCGACAAGGAACGTCCTGATATTGGAGACATACACTAAACAAAAGGTGCAAAATGAATCAGTAAACCCTGACTGTGTGCTTTCGAAATTCAATCGGAAACCAGCGCGTGATGCTTTTTCGTTTAGTGTTTGCCAATTAATTTTTTTTTCTATTAAGTTGGTACATTTACCTGAAGTTGACACAAAACACCGGGGTCTTACTGGGCATCGCTTCACTCCACTAAAGAAAATGACGTCTTCGAAGTGAAACAATGACCGGAAACTATATAATATTTTTTAAATTCCAGATTTTTACCAACATTGTAATTTCAATCTGAACCCACTAATCTGACTAATTCCGGTTCATTAAAAATCGCTTAAGCGGTGCTATGTATCCAGTTGATGACTTTACTTGAAAATATTCCATATCTTGTCCTAAGTAATTGGTTAATTAGCATCCAAGTCCACAACTAATGATAATGAATAATAACAAAAGCAAAGACTGGTGCTAAGGACCAGTTTTCTGCGCTTATTGCTTGATTTTCTATGCTACTTTAAATACAGCCTCCAACGGTAATTTTTCAGAAATAATAAAGTTTTTTATGCCATCTGCTATTGGAAAGCAAACAAACTGAGATTTCGCCGATGCCTCCACGCTGTCCACGCATGTAATAAAATCGCTACTTAAAACTAAGTGACAGGTAAAAATGAAGGCAATTTCGAATGGAAAGCAATAAATCTCTGCCCGCTGCAGGCCTTGGTTTACCCTGAAAGTGTATCGATACACCATGCGATCTTATGTAAAGCTTTTTATTGTCACGACTTATGGATACGAGCACCTACATGTTGTGTCACAGTGAGTGAATTACATCCGCGAATAGAGCCTTCAGCATGCAACATAATTTTTGTTCGGTTTTGTCAAGGAATATTACAAGGATCGGTTAGGTTAGTCCCAACCTCACAAGAGACTCCGATTGGAATCTTCAACGCTTTACTGCTGAATTAACTGGATGAAAATTGTCTGACGCAATGCTTGCAGCAAATGCTTGATGACTTAAAAGGTCGGTGTTAAGTGAGGAATTTATTCTCGACAGTTTACGGTAATGGCATTTTGGGAACTTTCACTCCTTTCACTGGAATTAGATACCATCGTACGGCTTATGGTAAATTACGCAACTTTCAGTCTATCAATCAATCAAGCAGGTACCCCAAATTTTCAGGAGAAAATTGAAAACAGCGTCATTATTCGCTCATTTGGACTTGATTTTTTCATTTCCCGCTCAAGAATTTTTAATAAATTCTGCTCTCTTCTGAAATTTCTGCTTAGTTCGTATCCCAAATATTTATACAATTATATTTCGTTCTCGTTGCAACATCCCATATTGTAAATCTTCACTTTTTCTATTATAAAACGTTTTCAATTAGTGGCGATCGAAACCAGACCGAGCAAGTGAAAACCGGCCGCGTTTAAGTGAATTTCTGCGTGCTAAGTTATCCGCTGGACTGAAATTAATTGCCAGTGCAATTAGTCGGCTAAAGGATGGGCAATTAATTGGCAATCGGACAATTAAATGTCCTTCACATGAAACGTGGGAAAAAAATGACGGGGCTGAACCTTTGAGCTGCGCTATTGAGGGTTTAGGAACTACTCCGCTGCAGACTGGGGCTTCTTGGGGTCATTAGCATCCTAAGGCTTTTCCAATGCTAATGAAATCAGAAACTTGCGGTTTACTTTTCGCATCTCGTTAAAGTTCCAGCTGGCAAAAAGCAACCATACTTACATAAACTGAGCTGCTTCTGACATTAACACTCAACACATATTCTTACTTAGCCGAAACACACGCTACTAATTGTCATTCATTAGAGCTATTTGCATAAACCGAGCGACTAATATTCATCAAGCGGTGAGCATTTTCGCATAAGATCACCTCAAAGGCGTTCTTCGGCCAATTAAAGGCTTTTGAACCTGTACAACCATTTCCATGGATGCACTCGATGCTTGCATGCAGCTGAGTTGTTCAGTACATTGTTGAATTGTTACAATCAGGTGCTTTATGACTGTATAATCTTACGGGTTTTTCCCATAACTCTCTGGGCCATTAAAAGCTATTTAGCTCTCACACACTCTTCACGTGACTGGGAAAAGTTAATTAATAGTGATGACGGACCTTGGCTGACGAAAGATCTTCGCTTGTGCAGAGAAAAACCAGCACATTGTGCTCATATACAATACTATTTCGACAAAGTATTATTCTTCCATTTTGTATACCTGACTTGAACATGTGAAAGTTCTTGAAAAATCAGGGCTTTAAAGCGCTGACCAACCACCAKCAAGGGACTTTGAAACATGCGAGCTAATAAATCGATTTTCCAGYTTTGGGGCGTTTTCAAACAAATGGCGATTAAAAGAAATGATGAACAAAATACTCGATAGTTTTACTTACTTTATCGTAATAGCCAGGAGGATAATRATGACAGCCACCAGTAACATCGCCACACACACGCCACTGATCATGTACAAACTTTCGTTTGGAGCATCTGAAAAAAAAAATAAATGGTCATTTTTTCCACCTAGATTGAAGCAATGGCAAGTTGTCATTATAATTATATTTCCAATTAAATGATTAATTTGGAAAATTTTTTGAACGGGATGATGCCCATTATGAATCACCCTGTRTATGCCATCTAAGTAACACTAAACAAAGTTTCTCAGTTTGACTGTTTATTTCAAGCACTTGTGTGCGATCCTGGTAGATTAAATCGTCGACTCTACTAATCAAGAGGTATTATAGGGCTAATGTGGTCACCTTGGCAACCAGGTGGAATTATAGGGGGAATGATCAATAAACGCATATGACTCTAATGGTAAAACTTGTTTGAATGGCGTTTCAAGTCAGTGAAAGGTCGATGAAAATGTAATGGAAATGATTGAACATTTGAACCTCGACAAAATTAATAGGTGCTCATTACCATGAAACATGTTGATCAATTCCAATTCCACCTTCATTGCAAACTGCAAAACAACCTTTGTTCTTTCGTTTACATTGGATCAATTATACGTGTGAATTGTTTTGGTATTGGGGCCGTTTTAAGGTCCGGGGATATTGCTAATTGTTGCTGCCCCCTTCGTTCAATTTCCCCAGTGTTTCCATGTGGCAAAAATACTCGCTGAACGGATGTGAAAGTTCAATGCCAACAACGTGTGTTATCATCGTCGTGTGTGTTGTATGTGTGTGTGTGTGTGTGTGTGTGTGCGGGCTTGTGTGGGGCAATCAATTTTATGTTCTTCCAAATGAATATCGAATGGCTATTAAATTAATCGCAATTAATATTTTTGCAATAAAGTAAGTGCCAGAGCTGGTGTATGTTGACCTGTGGCTAATTTTAGCAATAGCTGGCATGTGTCCCTTTTTGCAGCCCACGTGGACTAGGATTTACATTTATTTCAGCCGGTAGTTTGCTATCCTTGCCGGCAATTGATCTAAATCTAATATTTTCACAATCACCCGCAAGTGCAAATAAATGAAATAATTGTAAATACAAACAGGAACATATTTCCCGGCCTCACTCTGAGCAAGGCAACGCCGATCCTGACCACTATCACTGTCTGTACAACAAAAGGCCAAATTTATTTGAATTGAATCTATAAATCTCGTTAATTTATCGCAGACTTCCATGTGTATTCGACCCAGATCGACAAAGCCGTTCAGTCTGGCAGAGAAAGGAAAAACTGATGCGCCATGTGCGTTGCAACAGTTTCCAGAAAGATTCTAGATAAGTAAGTTGGACAGCGTCCAACGAGACCAATAAGCTTTTGGTAATTTATGCGCTCCAGACAACCGTTTGGATTGACGATGTTTTTTGGGTGTCATGGGTTTATGGGGCTTCGAGTGGTCGCGTGACAATGATTATTAGACGTTTTATTTCTGAAATGTCTGTGGAAACGATTAGCAAAAGAACAATGCATTTTTCCACGTTTTTGGATTATTTAAAGCAACTGTTGGCGAAATAATTTGCAACTCGAACGTCGTGAACTTTTTGCGTATTTGTCCTGCAATGTGCGCTTACCATTTAAATTGCACCATGCTGCCGTATTTTTTGCTCTTACGCTCAAACCACATCAGATTTAAACTACGCTTTTTATCGCCATGCATGCAACCGCTCTCAACCTGCGGAAACCCAAATCGACGACTTTCTTATGCAATAATAACAATCGCACACCATGCAGTTGATTTCAAGGAAATTTGCAAAAAATCGAAGAAAGTCCACAACGAGGATACACCAATAATAAACGAGCTTTTTCGAAAATTCGCTACGTTGTAAACCGCTAATAATAATAAGTTTTATATTTAGAAGCGCGGTGGCTAAGTAATAAGCTCTTTGAGGAACAGAAGTCAATTCTCTTAGGAAAATATACAAGTGCTATAAAAGAAACACAGCTGTCCGGAGATAGCGGTCGATTTAATGTCGGAGAAAAATGCAAATTATGAAATATGTTCAATGGAAACCAAAGAAATGGAGAATATGCAGCAGATTAATGGATTAATTAAAGTAATTATTGAAAAAAATATTCAAAACAATGCCGTCAAATTCGCTGGTGTTTCTGGAAAATTCTCCAAACGTAATTTTAACAAACAAATGCAAGATGTTTTTCCGCTGCAATTAACGCATGTACGTCATTAAACGTGTCCAAAACGAAAAATTGCGTTTATTTTCAAACAACCGCGGAACTAAATAAATTATGGTTTTGACGTAAATCCGTTTTGGATTTACCGCCGTTTACATGTTAATTAAATGAGCAACTTTGAACCGCTTGTAAATCAGCCTTGTTTTTTCATTTTAGCGTAATTGCAAAAAACACACAAAGAGTTTCAAGATGCGGAACCAGAAATCGTCGATCAATTTACAAAAAAAAATAACCAACTTGGGAGAAGAAAATTGGAAGAACTCAGGCCTGGCATTGAATGGAAAATTAATCGGATTCAAACCAAGAGCCTCAGCATTTTTTTCACAGCTGCTATAACTATTGAAAAGAGGCTTCTGGCAAGCTAGAATATTTCTAACAGCGCGAACTCATCGGCTATACAGGCCAATTGGCAAACCGATATCCATTATACATCAAAACTGGAAAGAGTCAACAAACAGAAAAAGGAAGTTTACCGCAACATAAACCATATCCAGAATTATGGCCGTGCCGTGTTTATATAGGTAGAGTGAAAAATTGGGATAATCAAGTTCGTATCCCACTGGGCGATGTTGATAATTATACCTCTCGGTGTTTACCTAGGACTTGCAACTTGGCAACATTTATCCACCACTAATAGAGCGCTCATTTTCCACTGGATTCATCCAGGTTTATCAACATTTTCAGCTCTAAACTGATCAACCAACGATCGGCTGGTATTCGTGATTCGTTTGCTCATCAGGCGAAATTCATTTTGAAACGGTTCACGGTCGCAGTTGTCGGTCAAGTGTCTAGCCGTTAGAATTTTAATGGGCTTGGGTCGAAAATCGCCAACATCAAAAAAGATCTAAACGTATAATTAAAGGAGTTGGAGGAATTTGGGATTAGAAAATTTGACAGGATGTTTACCAAACCAACAGCCCTCTAAATACGGATTGCTGATTAAAACGTCCATATTTGCGCCAAAAATAACATCCAGCGATTAACCAACATATTTTTGCTCTTTGGCCGCGTAATGGTTGTTTATTTGATTAGCCGATATTAGGTTTGCTTATGATAAGTGAACACACCCCTGTCAATGATGCATTAAATTACACGAAAAACACAGTATGATTAGTTAAATTGAGTGTGTTTATCAGGGCACTAAATAACATTTGCGTCTATATATAATAATATTTATCCAAAGTTTCCCTGCCCCGGACGGGATAAACAAATGAAAATAAGAAAAGTTATAGTAAAACATACAAGTTTCTGTTGATAGAGTTAATATTTGCCTTATAATGCCCCTTAATATATATGATTACTTTACAAAGAAAGGAGTGTAAGGCCCAAGGTGTAATAACATGGCCAAAGCCTAGTGGCGATTATAATCAAATTTGTCAAACGATCCTAAAAGATTCTAATGGACAATCAAGGCCGCAGCCGTTTTCAATAACTTTGGCAATTTTCATGTTCAATCACAACTGGAACTATTTCGAAAATAGGTTCCAAAAATACCTGGATGGAATTATATAATGGAAAGTCAAAGGTTGGAGCCATCGAAGAATCCGAAACGCTTTTTATACAGCGAGACCGAATTAAATTAATTGCATTTTCCCCGCAACAAAAATAGATTTTCCTATTTTTAAACCGTGTAATATGAATCTGGAAAAAAGGTGCGCTCCTTTTAATTAAATTAAAAAGTGAGTACCTATATCAAGTTGATATGGGCGATGCTGATTCTTTCATAACAGCAGAACTTTGTCGCCGGCTAATCTTGATTGGCTATTACCTAATTAATCGACTTTTTTCGGAATAATTGTCGCAAAAATATCTGCTCTTGACAACCGAAGCTATTTTTACCATAAACAACACTTTTAATACCGCTAGAGTGCTTGTCAAACAAACCGATATATTATGTGACTTGCAATAAACATACTTTTACGCTCAGAGTAAATTTGTATAATATTTATCTTGTCTTTATGTTATTACTGAATCTCTTTTGCATGCGATCATTTTGATATATTTTTATACAAATCCAATTTTCACTCCAACAAACTAGCTAACTTAATAAATATGCAAGGACTGAAATGAGCAACACCAGATTGCTCAGATTCAGGTGTTTTTCCAAACTAATGCAAGTAAAATTCCATTGGAAGTAACTTTTCTCAATAAACACCTTATTACAAATTGCTCTTACATTAATTTTCCTCCATACAACTGATGTTCGTATAAACAATTGAGATTTTCAGTTAATAATACTATCATCGAATGCGCTGATGGGTAGACATGGGCAAACTAATGAAAAATCATCCAACACTGTTTTTTCTAACAAAGTAAGTGTTAAGAAGTGATTCCTATTTATTTAATAAACCATTGAGTAGTGGCAATGTTGCACAGAAAATGAACAATTACAAATTACAATCCCTTGGTTGACCATGCTGGTCGTAAACTTTCATAAACTTGGCACGAAAACTGTCTCTTTGTTCCATTATTTGTAAATATCTGCAAACATTTAACAAAGCGCTTTAATATTGCATTGTCGTTTTCTCGAAACTACAACTTTCAACAATATTTACAATTTTCCTTGATTAATCTCTCATTATTCAGTTCGGCAAGTCCAAAACCGAAAAATAAGCCATTTAATCTTCTTCCTGGCCAACCTAAATATTTAAAAAATTATTCCCCTGTGTACCAAGAATTGAAGGTAAACCTGGCGAAAGACGCTCGAACCTGGGCAGCATCATAAAATATAAAAGTTTATTTTTCCGAAAAATATTTAGAGCAATGGGGAATTTTCCGAAAATAATTCATTTAGTACCTAAATTCAAATCAAAACAACTTGAGTTAAGTAACACCCTGTATAGTGTCTAGA